CACAAACAACAGTCAAAGCTCCAACGGCGGCTATGGCGGCTACAATGAACTCGAGGAGGTGCCTGACGACCTCTTGATGGAGTTGATGACGCGCTTCGGTCGCACCATAATACGAGCACGCAACGATCTGGAGAAGTAAGTATCCCATATAATCCCATGTATATAGTCCTAGCACTTCCGTTGTTATTGTATTCTTATGCTGTTCTTCCTTCCTCATTCCCCTCGTTAGCTCGAAGCGCACGGTGGACTTTGGCTTGGCGCGCGGTTACTCGGGCACCCAAGAGGCAAAGCATCGCATGGGCCTGGCCGCGGCCAATTTTCCGGGTGGTCCTGGCCGGAGGCGACGATCTGAAACCGATGCTTAAATTGGGGCAACAACTACGCGATAATCACGATAATCTCTTACTTCAAGCAAATTCTACAAACACGTTACAGGAAGTTACAAACGCAAACTACAATTTCCATTGACTTTATGCAAATGTTGAATTTTTAGTTGTGTTCCGATTCGATTCAATTAAATTTCTATTACAACAAACTATATATATATATATATACGTAAATATATATATTGGATTTACTATGTATAACTTACACTAACACTGTCTGCATAGCACAAAGAGTTTAAAATTTTCTTATATACTATATATATGTATACCATACTGCAAATTGTTGCTACACTGTTGAAAGAGTTATTGCACCATCAAACTATAAATGATAAGATCATGATCCTCTCTCGCTCTCTCGCTCGTCTAAATGTTCAAAAACCAAAGAAAAATACCAATAAAAAGAAGAGTATTAACAAACATACAAAATAATCAAATATTTAGTAACAATTTAAGAACAAATAAAATAAATAAACATTAAAAAAAATATAAAACAAATGAACTGTAATGGAACTCGCGCAAAAAATCTTTTAATAGGTATGCCTTAGTATTAGCACACACACAAACATATATACATATATATAATATATACATATGTTATATGTGCACGTGTCTTGGCCCTTGAATCCAAAGCTAGTTCAAGCAAGTTTCCCGCCTCAAACTTTGATTTGAATACGTGTAACAAATATTCTGATTTTTATATTATTTTGGTTGGGATCTACTATATACTATAATATATATACATACATTATGGTTTGCTTTGTGCTTGAACACGTCTATCTGTGCCAAAATTCCATTCATTCTGAACTTTAAACTCTTTTAAAGGGATTTCCTGTAAATAATAATACGAATCACGCGTGCATATTTTGCTATATATACATCAAATATCTAACGAGATGCGCCTGCATATATACTTATATATAATATATATATATATACGGAATATTGTGTCTATTATAAACATTAACATACATTAATATCGCAATGAACAAAATTAAATAAAATTACATTTAGAGAAACATAACAAAAGGGGTTTTATTTTAATATGGGATCTCAGGGTATGTGTATATATATGTATATTCCAGATCAGGACAACAAGCTGAGTTGATTTAGCTATGTCCGACTGTTCGACCGTCAGCTGTAGCCTCATGTGTCGGCTTTGGAGGCTGCTGAAGTATCAGGTGAACAGAAATAACAAGTAGGATGAGAGAAACGCTAGTTATCGTGAGAGTTGTTCAGCTACCACTCATCTCTCTTAGTTAACAGCGCAGTAAAAGTACGCTGTTACCAGCACTGTTAGTGTACAGTATTTTATCATAATCATGTTAATTAAGAGAATCATGTTAAATAACACTGTATCAATATGATCCTGTTAATGCTCTGTTAGGTAACATTTTCCACTCTACTACGCATTTCTGTTCGCTTGGAACTTCGGGCACTTAAACAGGCATTTTGGCGAAGTAACAGGCGCATAGAACTGATCCATAGGGTGGAACAGTACAGTGAACTGTTTACGAACTATTATCTAACAGCAACGGAACAGATTATCTTAACTAACATCCCAGCAAGCATTTTTGCGTTTAACAGAGCATAAGTTAGTCTTAAAAGACTCGCGCGATGATTGAAAACAGTCATATGTGCGCTCATTTTCTGATCATAAAAGACTGTTCTGTCGGGAGAAAATGGTACCCTACCCGCGGCTCTTCTTCATGAGTCGCTTATGACTCTTGTTTTTAATCATAAAAGAGTCTTCCACGAGTCATCTTTTAATCATAAAAGTGTCTTCCACGAATCATCTTTTAATCATAAAAGAGTCTTCCACGAGTCATAATTTAATCATTTTTTGACTCATATTCGATTGAAATTTTCAATAATTTGCAATGAAAAGAATTTGTTTCTTGATATAAATTTCATTTAATATATATATATATATTTTCTTAAAAAATAACAGCAAAAAAAAAGTAAATTGATACAAAACAAAATATAGAAATTCAAAACAAAAAATAACAAAAATAGTAACAGAAATAGAAAGTATGTTTTATATTATTCTAAGCGCCTACGCTTTGCCAGCCTGTCATTGGCATGGACAAAATGCTTTTGTAGCACCGTATTTAAATCCTTATCCGTGCATGTAAATTTTTCATTAGCAATATCTAAAAGGGAAAATATTAATTAATAAAAAATATAAATATTTTCCAAAATAATACATACTTTTTATTACGGCTATAATGTAACACCTTTCTGCTGATGGTTTAATTTTTGTCCCCTTCCAGCTGTATTCGGAAGCTACCTTGTCCGAAAAAACTTTTCTGATCGCAGCTCTAACAAATTGTGTGGGCCCATCTCCTCCAACTCTCGATATTAGATGTTTGATATAATTGATATAATTTATTTGTATGCACTTCGCACTTGCACTTCATTTGCACATTCACGCTCGAATGACAAAATTTGCACATTTCGGCTTGTGCTTAAGAAAAAGTACCGTTTAACTTAGATATAAGCTTAAATAAGAATCGCTTTTCGATCAGCCAAGCGAGCAGAATATGAGTGCATAGTAACAAAGCAAAACCAAGCAATGATAATATTTTAATCACCTGCATGCTCATTTGGCGATTGCTTTGCATTTCGTTTTTGTATTTGAAAGCAATCATACTTTGAGACTATGGAAGGGTCATTTATGAGTCTTCTTTCAATCGCCCAGGAGATTAGTCGTTTTTTAATCGTCAAGGGGACTCAAAAAAGACTCATAAAGACGATTTCTGTTAAAACAGTCTTCCAAATGCTTGCTGGGATTTCTCTTCACGTCTTACCGTTGCTCCCTAAGTTATGCTACAATATGATGTATTGTGCATCTATTGGCGGTTGGATTTTGAACATTTATTGCCAACAAAGAAACCACGGTAAATAAAAAATCAGTTTGATTATTGATCAAAATTATTTTATTTATTATTTGTCAGTTCTTGCTGAATTAAATCTATTGTATATTTTTTATAATTATATACAATTGTTATAACACATTTGCTGTATTTATATGATGCTACATAACATGCGGTCGAGGAGAATGCTGTTATTGGAAACTAGTAGCTGAAGCAGCGTTATACTCTGAAGTGATAAATAATATTTTTGAATTCACGAAAATATAATTAAATAATACTTTGCTTACCTCAGATGGCTCATGATGAATACTGATGCGCGCACGTACTCTGGCACTCAACTCTAAACTAAATCCTCTTCTCCCAAAAGAGAAAACTGACATATTAAAGTATATTGAAATAAGCAAATCAGGGTTTTTTTTAGTTGTTGCAGCCTTACTTATTGCTAATAGATATTATTATAAAATTAAATATTAGCTATGTTTACATGCTGTATGTTTATATGTTGTAATACATTAATAAGAGATTTCTTTAAGATTTCTCTTAAATTAGTTGTTTACAGATTTCTTGTTTATGCTTTTAGGCAACCCCTCTTCGCTTCAATTGGCAAAGTCTCTAAACTGTTATTGCTTTATTGTGCATTGTGAATAAGAGAGGAGTATATATGCTCTTGCAAATAATAGAGGACTACCCATAGTCCAACTCTTGTAGTCGCATTTGCCTAATTCAGACCGGCAACAAATGTTCCACGTGGGAATAACAAAAGCTCAACAGCAGCGCAGTAAATACATGGAAGATTTATCTACAAATACAATTGAATATGCTTACAGTCGAGTCCCACTCGAAATTGATGCACAGTACTTATAGCAACATGTGTGTGTAATGCAGATAAGGCCATTAGGTGAAGTAGATATTGGACTGCCCGACCTGGTAATTTGTTTGTACTCCCCCTGGCATTATTGCCACAAATCAATTACTCCATTTGCATGGCGAAGGGGACAGGGGAAGGTATAAGTGTTAAAGCAAATTTAATCACAAGAATTAATTGATATTGATAAAGTTATTTCAGATGATATGTTTAAACACAGTTAACACTTATACTCTGAGCCCATTGATAATTTGTTGAAATGTATTTTTTTTTAACAATATCTGTTCTCTGCTCTCTCGTACTTTTGATTTCTTGAGTTCTCTGACTAAAAGCAGCAACAGCCTCTATAAATTCCAAAAAGCAACTGAATATTTAATCAGTTTCTTTCCAAGCGGCACAAGCGACATTTGAGCAATAAAATGACGCAGCGAATCGCTTTTATATTTTCAAGTTTTGCTCTAATATTATTGGGCTTGTGTAATATCCAAGTCCGAAGAAAATTATTTTTATTCCATAACTAACCATACATTTTCAGGCACAAATACAAGAGAGCTTATTGAGCATGGTATATTTCCATGAGAAAATCCCGGAACCTTTTGAAAAAGTCGGTGAGAAATACTATTATTTCGAAAATCAGGAGACTCAAAATTGGTTTGGAGCTGCAGAAAAGTGTCGTCAGATCGACGGACATCTAATCAATCTACAAAACGAGTACTGGACGGACATAAATAATCTCTTTAAAAGGAATATCTTCTTTTCACTAACTACGGGCAGAGTGGCAAATATGCTCAACGATCGTTCGGATCACAAAGAAAATATGTGCGGTCTTATTCAATATGATCCATTCAACTCCAATTTTAATTTAACCAAACATAATTGCTTAAAAAAAAGAACTTTATTTGCGAGACAACACAACCGACCACAATATCCATTTTATTATGGTGATATACCTTATGAATAATGTATACTTAATATAGATGGTATATACTAAATGGAGCACACAGTATATGTACCTAAATGTATGCATGTGTATGTGTTGGAAATGCACTTATTAATAATTATATTCCACTATATGTATTGGATATATATAATATATATGGACATGTATTTGAGTAACAATAAAGAACCGCAGAGTTTAAATTTAACATTGTGGTATGTGAGGCTTCAGAAGCGACTAATGCTAGGTGGCTTATAAAATTATTATAGAGGAATGTGTGTAATTTGATCTTAATAAAGTTATTGGAAGAACTCTCTTGATTGGCACTGGAAGCTACAACCTATCGTAATATGCATCGAATAATACTAATGAACATCAGCTTAACACTAATTACATAGTCTAGAAAATACTAGGAGAAAAACAATGAGTTTTCTTATATGATACATACTAATGCTATTGTCAATTATTTACAGTCTTTGATGCTGATAGTTGGACTCGCACCTAGATGGGATAAATTACATAGGCCAACAAGATTTATTAATCAAGAAGTAGAATAAGCTTTTAAGAGTGAATGAATGTCTCGAAAATTTAGTGTATTAAAAATATTCTAATATCTTATTCGAGGTAAACTTTGAGTGATAGACATACCCTGGATTTTTTTTAGAAAAATAAAACAAAATCAAAATAGCTTTAAATATTACAGCATAAAGAATATTTCAAAAAGTGTATGTGACAGAGATACCCTCGAATCTTGGAATATTCAGAAAAAAATAAATAAATCATTCAATGTTCAAGCTTACAGAATATAGAGATACCCTGGAATCTAAGAATATTATTCTAGATTCAGATTCCAATTCAGAAAAGTTTAATCTAATTCACTTATAGAATTTCGCTGGCCAGTGTTAACTTATCATATCTTCACCCCGTTAGTCGGTCCAGCTGACATCAAAGCGGATTGCATGGTCAGGTTGGCATTGCTGGGAGCAGTGCTGCCAGACGCTAGCTCCATATACTGAAACGGCACATGATAGGTTTGACCCTTGTGCTCGACAATCAGGTGACCTCGAGCGCTGGAGGCGCCCACCACGGTGACGGTGTCGCCCTTTTTCAACTGCTGCAGCTCAGTGGAGGCCGTCGGCGATAGAGCAGGAGCCGGATTAGCCAGTGCGTCCTCTGGAAAATTCATTTTCATGATGCGGCTTTGCGGATAGCCCAGCTTCTTTGAATTGGCCGTGATTGTGTAAGCCCGTGACAGTGGAACGGGTGGGGGGCGTTCCTGCACAGCGCCATAATCCCAAACCAAGTGTGATAGTTTGCATGTAATAAAGAAAATGAAATAATAGTAAATTTATCTGCGTGAGAAGTGCTTCGTATATAACAGAAGCAAATGAATGCGATGCCAAATGGAATTGGATTTTGTTGGGGCTCAAAATATCTTCTCTCTGCTTGCCTCTTTTAAACTCTTTATCTTTCTCTATGAAACTAAATGAAATTTAAATCATTTTATTTTTGTACACTCCATTTGCTTAAGCAAATATTGTCTTCTCTCTGTAAGTGTTTATCTATTCAATTAAATTAAATTGAAACTATTTCATTTTACTCTAGAATTTACTTCCTTTAAGGATTTTTATATGGTATCATTTTTTTTTTTATGTACATAATCTAAATAAAATTTGTGTTTTTTTTTTTGGCAACCATTAGGGAATAACCAAGTGTGGACTGCATTCATACAGAGATCAAGGCTTGGCACTCCCTCTCACCTCAGCATTTTTCTTCACTCTCTCATTCTTCCCCTTAACAATTCCCCCTCGCAGACTGTCTCAACTTCATCACTTACCAAATCCAATCCGAACAGGCTACATGTTTGCTGGATAATCTTCTGGTCACACTTCTCGTGCGGATCTGGAGGTGGGGTGCCGGCAATGGGCTGAGGTCGCGGACGGGTCACAGTGCCGCCGATGCCCAGGCACGAAGCTTGATTTGTGGACTTTGCAGAGAGACGTGGCACTGCAGACAGAGAGAGAGAGAGAGAGAGAGAGAGGAAGGCGCATTAGAAGTGATATAGAGATAATCCATTGAAAGCCACGTACCCGTGCTGGGAGCTGCATTGGTCACCGCCGCTAGAGCGGCCATAGCTGCCGAGGTGGCTTTGCCATTGGGATTGTGGGCATTGACGAGCTTGGCGCAGGTGCTGGCGATGGCGGGCAGGGCAGCGATTAGGCCGGTGTCTGGACGGCAGGATTGCTTCAGAGTGCTGCCCATCTTCTTGCGCCACCAATAGCCACGCCACGTGGCCTGCATGCGCGTGGCACTCCTGTGGCGAATCTCTGTGCGCAAATGCTCCAGATGCTGGCGTATGCCCTCGCTGATGAACACATGGCGCTTGCCCGGCGCCCAGGCCAGCGTTACCGAACCGTCCTGCACGGGCAGCTGCTCCATGCCCATGGCATATTGCAGTATTAGCTGGCAATCCTCCAGAGCCTTGTCCTCGGTGCGGCGGAGCAGCCGGAAGGGCGCGAGCATGCGATAGCGCGCATTGAACTGCTTGAAACGCATTCGATGCGGAAATCCGGAGGCCATCAGATTGACCGTCTCCAAGACCTGCAGCGAGCGGATCTGGCGCACCACCGTCGCGCGATCAAACCTGCCCGGCTGCTCGAACATGTTGCTCCGGATGCAGCGCACGAAGTGCGGACGAGCATGGACCAGAGTGCGCAGCAGATTGTCCAGGCGTGTGTGGAAGTCCTGCGTGAGCGTCGAGACGGGCTCATCGCCGTTGAGCAGATCCGAGTGCGAGGTGGGTGAGATGCGGAAGCTGAGGCCGCGCGGTGCCTGCTGCTGGGCATAGAGCGCCTTCAGCTCGGAGCCAAAGAGATGCGTGGCGAAGCCAAAGTTGCAGCTGTGCTTGTAGAAGACGGCGACAAGATCGTCCGGCACAACGTCTCGATTGGTGTCCAGGAAATCGGTGGTGTCATATTCGACGCGTCCTGCGAAGTGGCGGATGGCAAAGAGTCGCGGATCGTCAGGCTCCAGTGCGGTGCGTGTCTCCAGGCGTGTCGAGCAGCGATGCTGCACCTTCAGCTTGGTCACGTAGCTCTCGGCTGTGCCCCGCACCGAGCACTCCATGTCCAGCAGGCTCAGCAGCCCAGTGCGCAGCGAGGAGATCAGATCGATGCACGGCACATTGTCCACATAGTCGACCTCGGTCTCGCACACGATGCCCTCGTCCCGGCAGGACTCCACGGATGACTTGAAGATGTGCGTGTTATAGAAATGCTGCATCGTCTCTGCACACAAATTGATGCACAAATGCTCCAGCTGTGCATGCGGCGTTGGCTCCTCGAAGCCAAACATGTCCAATATACCGATGAATCCATCCGTTGCATGACGCACTGCATTGTTCAGCGCGGCCATCGACTTGGAGCCCGCATTGCCGCCGCCAATGGTCGATGCGTGCTGGGATGCTGCGTCCGCCTGGTTGTGCACCGACTCATTCGAGTCCGAGCTCAACGTTCCCAGCGTGGAGCCTAGGCGCTTCAGGCTGTTCGCTCGTCGCACTATCGTGGCCACCAGCCGGCAATAGAGCGCCTTGGCCAGGCAGTCGCGCGTCATGTTGGCATCGCCGTCGCCGCAGACCGACTTCACCAACTGCCCACGCACATTGTGCGTGCGTGTGGTCAGACCGCGAAACAGCGCCGCAGGTGGCACGCCCAGGAGGCTGGCCACCGAATTGAGTTCCGTTTCGCCCTTCACATCTACCTCGAGACCCTGCATGAAAAATAAACAAAAAAACGTTGCTTAAATAAATAATATAAACAAATAGTAAAAATTAAATTTTTATATAAAATAATTGTATATTTCTTAAATAAATAACATAAAATTATAATTAATATATATAATAATATATTTTTTGATCAAAATATAATTTCTTGCTCAGTAATTTATAAAGTTTCGTACACAACGTAATTCAGACGTAAATTACCCTTAAGTCACATCAGCGCAAGAAATTTAAAAGTTAGTAGTTTGAAAGAGATTTTATTAACGCAAGCGGGAGAAGAACTCACAACATGCTTGCTTAGCAGAGCAATACTCTACTACAAGCGCTATCTTAGCATCGTAAGGTAACTGAATTACTATCAAATAAGTATTCACACATGAAGTTTCAGTGATTTAATAGCTAGGTGGCGCTTTTACTCATACTGGCAGCGCTACTAATTTAAAATGAACAATAGATGGCGCAATACAACGGCTGTTAAGTCGCATCACACGCCATCTATTTACAAATATTAAACAAAATCAAGTATACGATATTTCTATTTAACAAACTTTTAGCTTATTTTTGGCTAATGATAATATATATATATAAATATAAATATAAATAGTTATCCTCGAAATAGAGTCATTTAACCGTTAAAAGTACTTGAAATTAACTTACCCCTCCATCGACAAACTGCACGTTGCCCAGCAGTAGCACAGCAGCGAGGACACGAACCACATCCAGAAACGGTATGCCCAATATGCCAAGGCAGGTCTTCCAGGCCTGGAAACGTGCCGCATCCTCTTGCTCGTTCTGGGCGACATCGCCACGGAGATAGCGCAGATTTGCCGGCGAATAGCCTTCCAGGTGCAGCTTCTGGCGCTCCTCTCTGTTGAGGCCGGCCAGTAGCTGGTAGAAAATGTGATAGTTCTTCTCCTTGGGCAGCGGCCGAATGACGCGTGTCTGGTCCAGAAAATAGCAGTGGATCTTGGTGCGGTAAAGTGCGCCATCCGTCACCTGCACCTCGATGAACTGGCCGATGCGACTGGACTCCGAGTTGGTCGTTGTCTTGGCCGATCCAAGCGAGCGTAATACTGTAAAGGCGGCGGCCAAATGCTTAAACGCATCCGTCTCCTGACCTCCACCGGCTATTGCAAAGAGCTGTCGCAGCATGAGCATGGCGTTAGCCGTCTTCCCGGCACCGCTAGTGCCCGAAAGGATGATGGCCTGCGGATATCCCGTTTCACTCTGCTGACGGACCGCCTCCTGCACAATCTTCTGCAGCTGTGGCGCCAGTGGCAGGTCGCGTGTCGATGTGAGTGTCAGCGGATTGCCCACGTCCAGGTAGGGATTGATCGAGAGCAGAATTGAGCCCACATTTGTCTGGCAAATGATGAAGGAAATATGTGAGAGTAAAATGAATAAACTAATAAGGCGTAAAGGTAGAAAATTTAAGTGTTTTTTTTTTTTAGGTATCAAAGTTAGGCGAAATGGAAATCCCTGATAGTGATAGAGACTGTTCAGGTCTAATTCCTTGAATAGAAGCTAACGTTAACTAAAATTCAATTTTCGAATAAATTTAAAATAAATCGATAAAACATAAGAACAGTTCAGTAATTAACTAATAGTCCAGTTAACTGCAGATAAGACGTGATATCAAATTGATAATAGCCTCTGGAGTTACTCTAATCAGTTGTCAATCACTTGATTTCTAACTGTTGTCGGTGCCATCGACGGCATATAATTGTCGAAATTAACAGTTAATCTGGGGCCAGTGCAGAGCGGACATTCAATTTGGAGACCGACTATTAAGATAATTGTTGGAGAGGCGGATGGAGTTTGACTGCTGGCCATAATTGAACTGGGCTAAAAGTGAATCTGATGATAGTTAAACTGGTTTGGTGTTAGGCTAGGTGTTGGGAGGAAATGAGAGGAGCTGATGACAGCTCTGCATCAAAGTGGGCTGAATAACACTTACGAAGTAGCGCTGCTCGTTGAAGCGCGCCTGCAGGGTGTGCATGACGGCGTGCTCGGTGAGTGGGCCAGCCAGGTGAATCAGATCCTGCATGTCCTTGGGCTGGCGACTCCCCTGCGACTGCTGACCAAAGCCGAAGGGCAACGTCTTCACGCTCTGGCAAGGATTCACGTGCTTGGCTGACTGATCGAGCTGCTGGCCGTTCGCCTGCAGAGCCGACGAGGCAGCCAGAGAATTGGCATTGGAGCTGCGCATGGGCAGTGTGTTGGATCGGGCATTGAGGCTGTGTGGCAAGGGGACGGGCGGCAACGTGGACGTGGCACCCAAGCCCGCACCGTTGCCCTTGTGATGACCCACAGCGGACTTCTCGCTCAGCTGATGCGGCAGCGGATGCGGTATGGATGTGTTCCGAGCCGAGATGACAGCGTTCGAGCCCGAATTGCTTGGCAGCGTCTGACTGTAATTGTACGCATGCTGCTGCAAAGGAAATTAACAATCACAATTACCCAGATTGCCTATGTGGGAAAGCATAAATATAGAGATCTCCGAGCTCACCTTCGGTAGGGTATGCTGGCCATTTCCGTTGGCATGCTGCTGCAGTGCACTGGACGAGAGCCCACCACTGCCCAGATTCAAATTCGGACTGGACGCGTTCAGGTCGTAGTTGGCTGCCTTTGCCCCGCCTCCGCCCAGAGAAACTCCAGCACCCGCCCCAATGCTGTGATGCTGCACATCATTGGCCCGGCCATGTCCCTGACTCTCCACATGCAGCCGATTGCGCATCACCAGCAGCTCAGTGCTCAGACTCTTGAGCCGCTGCTGCAGGTGCACAGCCTCATTGGAGGATGACGCATCTGAAAGAGAAGCAACATCAATCAAATTGATTTTTGGCTAGGTGATTTTTATACCCTGAACCCATTTTCAATGGGAAATCAGGGTATAATGGTTTTGTTGAAATGTATGTAACAGGGAGAAGGAGGCGTGGCAGACCCCACAAAGTATATATATTCTTGATCAGGGTGACGAGCTGAGTTGATTTGGCCCTGTCCGTCTGTCTGTCCGTCTGTCCGTCTGTCCGTCTGTCCGTATGTATGAACGCGTCGATTTCAGAAGATATAAGAGCTAGAGACTTCAAATTTTTTTTAAAATGTCCGTAATTACAGCGCGCATATCAAGTTTATCATTAAAAATCGATAACTCATCCCGATCTTTTTTTATCGATAAAAAACCTTATCGAAACCCAGTCATAAAATTATATCTTCTACACCTTTATTGCTAGAGTCTCCAAATTTTTAATGTATGCTTATATGCAATTTATACAATTTCGGTTTTTGTTAAAATTTACCCCCCACCTCTAAATTCACCCCCTCACCCTCACTTTTGTAAAAAGCGTATTTCAAATACTAGAGACTTGTGCTTTGGCAAGTACATGCATATTCATGTTATAATCATAATCTAAAAGTTTCATGAAGATCGTACGTCCATAAAAAAAGTTATTAAACAATTAAGTTCTCATAGTAAGCGCACACTGCAGCCCATGCGTGTTTATGCGTGGTTGCTTGTATGTGTATGTGTGTGTGTGTATGCGTTTGTGTCTGTATGCGTGTGTGTGTGTGTATGTGTGTCTATATGCGTGTGTGTGTATGTTTACCTGTGTGTGCGTACGTGCGTGTGTGTGTGTGTGTGTGCGTGTTTCTTGTGTAAGCTGAAAGTCGCGAAAAAGTATTGAAATATCTATTGCTCCAAGGGTTCAGGGGATCTCGTAGTCGAGCAGTCTCGACTAGAGCTTTCTTACTTGTTTTTATAAGTTCATCAAAAATAATCCTGGGATAATGATGCAAATATTTGAGCGCAATTTTATAATTATTTATTATATTAATTATAATATATAAAATTTATATATTATATAATAATAATTATTTTATTTGAATTTAATTTGTTTGTATTAATTAATTTTATAATTAAAAATTCATATTAATTTTGTAATTAAATTCAAAATATCCTAAACACATTAAGAAAAGGAAATCTTTTACCTTATGAATCGGAAGAAAATCAAGTAATCCCAAAAGCAATTCAAATCATAGATATGATTTATCGGGAAACGATTACAGAAACACTATGATAAGCAGTAACACATATAATCATATATTCATATCATTCTCGGAGTGTATAGGAGTGTATATATAAAGACATATTTATAAATTGATATAGAGTCATTAGAGTCAATGGGTCTCAAAAGCAAACTGCTAAAAATTTCATAGGCTGAACTATATCAGTCATAAAGCGATTAACCCATATGTGAATGTTGAGAGCCCAGATTTGCTTATTTGGTCAAGAATTTCTTGACTTAATTTAAATAAAATTGAGTCCACTTATATTTTGATTATCTCTTCAATGATTAAATATACTTAATTTGCCTTTGCTGACATTCGATTGGCGTCACAGTCTAATGAATTTCTAATTTAGCATAGATTATGTTAAGTCGTCCTCGTGCTATGCTTCATGTAATATTTACTCATAAGTTAATCAACGGCGCAGCCAATCCCTCTAGGCTTATTAGGCATTTAAATTACGCAGTTCCAACTTGATTTTTCATATACATAATTATAAACGTTCCGCTTAGCTTAAAAAATTGTGATTTCATATTTATTAAATAAAAAAAAAAATGAATAACAATTTTTCTGTGAATGACATGAATGAAAACGAATTTGTTTCTTTTTTCTTCATGCAATTTTTTGTTGTTAATGAAATTATATCTTATTTGGAATTATCTTTCTACCTTTTGGATACATTTGTCTACACGCTTTCGCTTATTTCCCAATCAATTTCTTCTATATAATTATAAAACGAACATAAGAAATTTCGACATATACTTGTATAATTTATTTCTAAGACACACCCACTTCGTCTTCCATTGCTAATATCTATAATTAATTTCTTTTTAATGTGGACAAAACTTTGTCTTACTTTAACCGTTGGAATATTTAAATATTCACGAGCTGAGAAACACAAGTTGAAATTAAGAATATCTTTGAAATGTTAATGAACTAATTTCGCTCGCAAATCGGTCGACAGCGCAGAACGAGCGCTAAGATGAAACAGAGACAGAAATCTGGCGACAGGTGCCAAGAAGAAGAAGAAGGAGATGAAGGAGAAGATAGAGACCACAACTAACTGAAACAAAGGGAATAAAATCTCAATGAGCTGAAATTTGATTATTATAGATAGCTTGAAGCGAACTTTCGAAAATGATGACATAAAAAACCATACGAGATACTCTTAAATAAAATAAGAGTAAATACGCTGGGGCAATGGGGGACGACTAGTTGATACCCTGCTTATAATTGATGACAAAAAATGAAGAACGAGATATTCTTCAATGGAAATTAGTGTTAATATTATAATAATACCACAGCATATGCTATAAACAGTAGTAGACGAAGAACAGATACCCAGTACATGGTGTGTAGAGTCTTGGTCTATATACACATTGGTATGCGATCCATCATAAACCTAAAGAAACGTAGCTAAAAACTTTAATCTAATTGGAATTTTCTCTTTAATTAACCACAAAAAGAATTACAAAAGTTATTTTCAATCGTGCCCAGAGCCAAACGACGTCAAAACCCGATATCTTTGATGATAGAAACCAGTTTCTCTGTTGTTTTTTAAGCTGCCTACAAGAAGCTGAGGTAAATGAAAATGTTCAATAACATTTTCTTGTGACTAATTGTAGAAATAGGCTTAAGATTTTTATTGTGATTTTTATACTATGTAGCTATTAAAATTAAATTTAAAAAAATTAAAATTAATTAATTATATTAGCAGAGGATACGAAATATAATCAGCCAGTCACACACTCTATTCATACAGTTTAATATGGACACTTTAAATTTGGCTTTTATTTTACATATATATATTTCTGATAAGCATTAAATTTATTATATGAGCCCCGCTCATTGAGCATTAATATAAATTCAGACTTACAGAATCGTGCAAGTTTATACTTCTTTTTTGGCTTTTCAAATTATATTATATATTCAAATTATATTATAATTGGTTTATGAACATACATATATCTGTCTCACTCTATCCTTAAATAATAAACATACAACTGCTGCTTCAAGCATATGTAAATAAAATGATTTATAAATATTTATATAAATTATGTACTATATTTTTAACCCCTAATGCATTTTAGATGTTAGATATATACTTATTATATATATATATATATATATATATATATATATATATATATATATATATATATTTTTTTTTTTTTTTAAGTAAGGCTACATAAAAAAAGTTTGTATAGTTATATGTATACAAAATAAACTCATCACACATTATACAAATGCCCTCCTCTTCTTGCCTCCTGTTCATTTTGAACTTATTCTTTGCCTGCCACACGAGCTGTAGTCTGACTCGCTTGCAGTCGCGAAATTTTCTTGGAAGCTGAAATCAGCGCGCATAGACTTTGCCAACCAAAGAGCAGACAATAAAAAACAAACCCGACTGGACCCAGAGACGACGGCCACATTTAAAGATCTCAACGGATGTGTTGGCGGCATCGCCTGCGACCAAAACTGGTCAGCCATGGGCGAGCGGGGAGGCTGCGACACGGCGGGCGCTGGGCATATGTTGCAAGTCGTACGGCATACACACACACACACACCTATACACCCAAACTCCGAACCGACTTGAGTCGCAGACATGTTCCAACAGCTATACACACCTCTACACATACTTTTAAACAATTATACAAATACAGCTAAGCCGCTCTCTAGTTATACAGCTGCGAGCCACTAACAAGGGACCCATATAGGACGGGCAGACGGATGCTAGATGTACCTACGTATCAAATAGGTACATATGTGGTGCATACCCAATATGGTATATACAATTATAAATATATGCTTGATGTATGTACATATATATGGGCATCTACATAGATACAAGCTTGAGCTTAATGTACATTAATGACAACAGATATGTATGTAAATAAATCATCGGAATTACTTTGAGGTAGGTGCATGTACCTAAATGAATGTCCGTATATGCTTGTAATCGTACCTAAATTTATGTAGAGGTATATGCACATTAATGCGCGCAAATATGCATGTAAATATGTACTCTAGTTCATCTGTACCTAAATGTCTATAGGCACTCAAGCCTATAATATTTACCCATATAAATTTAACAATGTTTAGATTTCGGAGTATATTTATGTTTTATATATGAATCATTATCCCAATATCTTTCTGTAAGACCCTTTAACAATTAACTTTCCAAGTGAATTTCATGCAAAACTTTTCTTTTTAGAAGGGCAAACAGTTATTAAAGTTCAAAGCTCTTTAATAATGCTCGATAAATGAGTTTCCCAACAAGCAGTTAATGTGCTTTGTTTTTTTTTTTTTTTTTTAAACAATGGGGGGCCATATGAATATTGGTCACAGTGAAGCGAAAGACTTAGGCAACAAACTGGAAATGGCCGAGGAGTGTGATCGTATGGCCGTGTGGCACTGTGGCACTCACCCTGCAGCTTCTTCTCGGTCTCCCAAAACTTTTGCAACTCCGTAAAGTATTTATCCAGTATGAACACTTTTGACAGGCCCAATGTGGCCATCGTAGATGCACATTTGTGTGGCCGCAGCGGAGAACGAAACTAGCTAATTTCAACTGCAGTCGCCGAAAAACGAGTTTCGACTTCAAATCCGATATTTTTCCTTTCTGTTTTATTTATTTTTTTTATTATTATTATTATTTTATTTTTATTTTTTTGGCGACGAAAAGGACGAAAAGCGAGCGAGAAGCGGGCACCGGCGATGATATTTCTTATTTGAATAAATTCGTATACAGATACACAGCACAAAACACGCCCGATCGAACAGGTTTTCCGCACAGACGCTTACAGAAGGCAAACATTGTCCAGGTTGACCAGGTTGTCAGTATGTGTGTATGTCTCTCTCTCTATATATATATATGTATATGTGTCTCTGTGGATGTGTATGTGTGTGGCATACAAACTGGGCCTGGGCAACGATACCGAACCGCACGTATGGGACGTATGCAGCTGCTTTGGCTTTTTGGCTCAGAGCAGCAAGTGAAACAACACCAACAAAAAATCAACAACAAACGCGAGAAAAGAATGCAGAAGGGCAGCAGCCAAATCACTGAAAGTATCTGCCAGATACTTTTCGGAGTTGTGCAATTGTGTGCTGCTGTTGCTTTTGCTTTTGCTTTTACACTCTACGTATTATTATGTTATATATACATACACATATATATATTTCTTTCTTATGCTTCTTATTATTATTTCAGTGGCTCAGTCGCGCGCGTTTGCAGACATTTTTGTTGTTTGATTTTTTTTTTCTTCTTTTCTTTTTGAAAAACGAGTTACCACCAATTTCAACTCGCAGCAGCAGCGCAGACTGGGAACTCGATGTAGATGCTTAGATACCTTAAAGGTACACACACACACACTTGTTGAGCAGATTTATATTTATATATATGTGTAGTACATAGACTTCGCATAACTTTTAGATGTTTAGATTAAACTTTAGCACATTTATTGCCTTGGCTGTGATTTGTTTTGTCGTGTTGCTTATATATATTTCACTTGAACTTCTTATAGCTAGCCACATTCACAGCTTCCGCTCGAACTGCCGCGACTCTCATTCGCTCGCTGTCAGACCAAGGCGCAGACTGAACGCTAAAAACCCGACGCTCCCAGACGCTGGATGTAGAAATTGTGATCGAGACGCGCTCGTTTGCGCTCTGAGCGGCTCTCGCGTGCGCTGGCGCAGGTAAATTTTTCAAACAGGTAAAAGGCCCGAGGTCTCTTTTTTAGTCCTCAGTTTCAATTACTCTGTCTGTGCAGTCGCTCAAATATGGGGTCAAGTATTTGAACTATGGGTCTCTCGCCTCGCTCTGGCTCTGGCTCTGACTATGAATCTGGCTTAGCTGTCTCGTTTACTGGTCGCGTGTTAATTAGTGTTGATTGCTTATTGTTTTTGGTTTGGTTTTTTTGTGTGTATGTGTGTTTGCGTGTGTTTTGGCCTCTATTATTGTTTTGCTTATGCTGCATTTCACAATTCTCACATCCATTTCCATTGCAGTTTGCAAATCATTGTCTCGAGCTGCACAGCTGCATGCTAATTCATGCCACATTTTTAACAGTCGAACACGATTTTCTAAACATGCAAATATCAATTTTCGCCAGCATATTCCAAACTGGTTTAATTCGAATTGAAGATAGCCCCTTTGTCAAATTGAATTCAACTGTTTTTAGGTCTTCAGTCCAGAATTTTCCTTGTGGTTATAGAGGTTAAAGATAGACTGAGCACATATCAAATGTAAATGTAAATTATTGGAAATTGATTTTTGTTTATTATTTTTTTTTTTTTAATATTTATATTTTTTCTGTTTTACCAGTAAATACATTTAAGATATGCCAAATCATTTGTATAAGTACATAAATATAAAATCTTAGTATTTGCTAATCCTAGACATCAACCCATTTGCTGCAACATAGACATGAACCGGCAACTACTTGCAGCAGGTATGGTAACCCTAATAGCATATTTCTTTTCGCTGCACCACAGCCTCATATAATAGTCAATTCGCTTCAATTCTTTAGACGTATGCAATTTGAATTCAGCGAGACTCAGATTTATTAAGTAGTTAAATTAAATAATTATAAATTATAATTATAAATATTTATACATGTATATACATAATTACTCATAAAGGAAAATTATTATGCTCAACCGTATTACATATATTGTCCATAATAGTTTTGTCTAGCAATTATTATAATTAGTATTATTATTTTATTTTTTGTAATACTTCAACATATTATCTATTATGTCATATAATATTATTGAAATAAATCTATCTTCATAAATCATATAAAATATAGTATTGATGTTTTTCAGAATTTACGGCTATAATTCTTTAAATTTTTCTTATATGCGGGTGGAAATGACCAATATGGAAAGGTATTCCAATAGGCATACATGAGGCAACATAGTTCAGCTCTTACATTTCGATTCTACTTTTATCACTCATCAAAGACTAACAGAAACTATAAATCATATATTTATTATAAGCAAACCTTTATGTATTTGCTTACCAGTTATGTTTCCTGTCGTGTTATTGGATTTCTTCTTGCGTCTGGCCACCGGAAGTGTATAAATAGCTGAGAACTTGGTGAAGCGCTCAACCACATCGTGTTTGGCTTTAACGGCTGATAGCACCGAGGATTCCAGTTCCTTGGACGCGCTTAGCTCTGGCTTGTTCAGGTCTGGCAAGGCTTTGCTTTGCTTCGGTGAGGGTGTTGTTGAGCTGCAAAGTGTTGAAGTTGGAGTGAGGCGAAGATTTGAGGAAGCTGTGGACCTGTGGACCTGTGGACCCACCTGAGTGCCTTCTGGTACTGGCAGAAGAAATCGGGACGCATGCGATGCCGGCAGAGAAAATCCTCGCACAGTCGCAGCACATCGTCGCCGTTCTCGCTCTTGCTTGACGGCTCGCTCGGCTCGCTGGGCTCCCTGGCAGGTCCGCTGGGTGTCGAGGTGCGCAGAGTCTCTGGCGTGTCATGCTGCTCACTGCTCGCCGGCTGCTGATAGCTCTGGGAACTCTGATGGAAGAGAAAGGCCGGCAGAGAGGCGCCCACAAAGTCGGGTATGTTCTCAAAGAAGTCGGCGGTGCGATCGTAGCTGTTGCTGCTGTTGCTATTGCTGTTGTTGCTGTTGTTGTTGTCATGGCTGGAGCCCTTTAAGTCCGACCTGGTCAGATGTCGGTGCACGTAGTCGGCGTACGTCTGGTCCGGCAGCAACATAGCATCAACATCTTGCGTGACCCATTAACCGAAGATATCTGCAACAAATGAGTTGGATGCGTAATCAATCGCAGCATCAATTCGCATTTTAATTGCTTTTAAATCAAGCGTACAGCACACACAGTGCCAAGTGGTGCCAGTGGTGGGCAACACAGTTCTGGCCAATTGCAAGTCGCAAGTTGGCCAAGCAGCTTCCGCGTCTGCATCGCCCATAAACCTGTCAGTTTATTGGCGCATGCGATTACCTCGATTAGCGTGACCATGACGAAGGTGACAGACACGGACGCTAATGCCTTTTACTGCGTGTGACGGCAAAGCAGCAACACGCTTCACTCTCTCGCTCTATCCCTATCTCTCTCTCTCTCTCTGTGTCTCACTCTCTCGCACTCTATCTCTAAGAAGTCTGGCTGCATGCCGTGCCAGATAGATGAGTTGCCAGCCGAAATGAGACACAATATTTATGCCACACTTTGCCAAACCGAACCGAACTTCGTGTGGTCTCTCGGCCCACCTCGACTTTTGCTTTCCGCAATTAACTTAAATGATTGTCATAAAAATGCTGCAAGTGTGGATGCCACGGCCATGTGGCCGCGGCCTGCCAGACCACGAGCCATTGCCGCCGGCGCAGGCATTTCTCAGTGTCAGCCCAGCGGGCGGCTCCGTTTGAGTAGTCGTAGAAAGCTTCAGTTGCTTCACTTCGCTGATATCTGAGTCACTTCCACATTTTTTCCCGTTTATTATGGCGATTACCCAATATGGCCAAGTAGCTCCAGCCTTGAGTTCTGCTCAACTGACACCTTCTAGGCCTAAGCCGCTTTCAAGTCAGCCGACTTAAGCAATTCATATTTTCGCATTGCAATATAAATAAATAATTAATTAAGCACATCAGAGACTGAGCTAATATTTGCATTTCTATAATTTACTTCATGTGATAGCGCAACTGGATGAAGAGAAATTCTCATTCTCATTCAATTTTGAAGCTCTTTAATTATGAATTATGAAATATGAATTAAGAGCAACTATAAAATTGATGAAAATAATCATCAGAATCATTGGGCCATTATATTCCCATCTAACTGCTTAGCTGACATCCAAAAATTTCATCTTTCTCTCTCTCTCTCTGTCTCTCTCTCTCTCTCTCACTGTACACATACACTCTATAACTGCCTCACTGTGTGCCTATAAGAACTTTCAGCCTAAAAACTTGAATCTTAAAATTCAGACAGATGGTCGGACAGACCCTCAAGGCGATATCTCCTCGACTATTGATCCTGATCAGTAATATTTTATTATGTCATTTTAACCGCATGCAAAGAGAATGTCCTCCTCTCACAAAGCTCGGCGTGCATATAAACAGTCCGTGTCAGCAAATCAGTTAATGAGAATTGGCCAAATTGATATCATTTACTAGGATCTAAGAATTATGTAAATAGACAAATATAAATAGATAAGTTAGCCCATAAATATGATAACCTACAGCGAGGAGCATTTATTAGAGACAGTTCGACGAGAAGAACAGCAATCGATGAGCGCAGACCTTCGGCAGGAGCAGCGGAGGCCTTCCTTCTGTGCTTTGAACATGGTTAGAATCAGGTAGCGAAATCGCATAAACTAAAATAAATCTCATAAATATGCAGTCGCAGTTGGAGTTGGAGTTGGAGTTGGAGTCGTTGTGGCCGCCATGGAGCATGGGATACCTGAGGAAATGTATCTCAATATGTCCGGCAGGGACAGCCGTGTGGCATGCCGAGGCGAATGTGGCGAATGCCAATGCATCTTAACTGAAGTTATTTATTCTAACTACGAGGGCGATCAAAGATTTAGCTCGTCGAGTAGAGCGAAAGACGCGAATGCTGTTATAGGTCGCTTAGGTCCGCTCCTGAGTGGCCGCCGCTGAGACAATGTGGACCCCGTGCAACTAATTTGCATTTGTGCCAAGCGTTGGCATGAAACAAATCAGCGCTGCGGCTTAGATGCATAGAAATTTATTACCAGACGAGGCATCGAAATTCTTAAGTATTTAGTGTGGATTGGGCAAACATTTGCAATCAATTTCAAGGCACAAGGCCAAAGGAAACCCTTTCCCAAGAAGAACAAATCACTGCCGATCGCTGATCATAGGGTACAGCATAGAGCAGAGACCCGCGAGCCGAGAGCAGAGAGCAAGGAGCAAAGAGCTGAGCATGCCCCATTATTATCTACGATTGGGCGAGTGCTCGCAGTCTTGGGCGATGGCGATTCATTGCCCTTTTGACTTGCTACATGGAAATTACATGATTTAACTTAATTTAATAAAGAGCCAAGGGCGCAGCAATTCTCCCCCTCTCTCTCCATCTGTATCTCTCGGACAGCCATCGTACGACTGGCATCTCTTGAGAGTCGTGTTGCCACAGTTCGTGCCTGGCTTTTGTGATTTACCGCGATTTGGACGTAGTCCAGGCCAGGCCAACGCCAGTCCAACGCCAGGCCAGGCACACACATGTCTAATAGAACAACAACTGGCCTCGGCTGATATCTTCTGCCCCGACCTGGCCTGACCATCGATACCAAGCTCCAGCATCGTCCATCATGGTGGGCTGCCGCCAACGCCACACTTGTCAAAATGCCCGATGACCCAATTAAAGCTGGCCGTCGTAGTGAGGCCTTCGACTACGCGTCTTTTCTCTCAGTGTACAACACATTTGTGCAGATCAAGAGATTTTGATTAATAGGTGGTTGTTTTGCCAGAGCCGGAGCCTGAGCTGGAGCTGGAGCTGGAGTCAGGCTATTTCCTTAGTTGCTCACTTCTCCAGTCGGCCCAGAATGCCCCCAGGCCACAGATAGACATTGAGAAATATTTTCGAGAATCGACTCGACAGGCGCTGCATTCAAACTCAATGAAACTCTGCCCTAAAACCTTACTCTTTGCATTGCAAGCTTATTTTATGGGCTTTTTATGCCTACTCAGGCATGAATGTGTGTTAAGGTTAGTCAAATCTGGAGCTGGGCCATGCAGTATATCCTAATCTTGCACTTCCGACTAGCATAGATGTAGGGTTTAATGCCAATGTTAAATTTGATGACATATTACTTTGAATAGTCAGACTAAGCAGACTGCGACTTAATCCGACCATTCAGAGAAATATCTTCTATAATGTAAATAATAGATTTAAGATGCGGGCTTGTAAATATTAAAATACATCTAATTGTCTTTCATTCCTTTAATGCCTAACTTAATTTTATATCTAAATGAATAATTTTCAAAAAATTCAAAATTTGTTTTCAATATGTATATATTATGTATTCAGTGAAATTTATATTTTCTTGTATATTTACATTTAAGAAAGCCAAAGAATCTGAGTCCCAGAAATGTAATTTATGATCAAATTTCTTTTCTTAGACATCCAAAAGACGAAAGAATTCCCACCCGAAGCCGAAGCTTTCGGCTGGTTCTTCAAGGTGTTGCATTAAATATATATGTATATACAAATATATACAATATATATCTAATATGGTAGTCAAAGGAAATGAGGATGGCAAATGTAAACGGAAATGGAGCTGTGAAGATATTTATGTGGGAGTCTCGAGTCGCTCGAGGCGGAAATATGTACGCCAGCAAAGATAGAAGAGGGAAAGCGTGTAAAGACTTTTAATCGCACTTTGATTGCATTAGCCCAACAAGGCTGACAGCTGAGAAGCATTTGGCATCGAGTCGAGGCAGACCTGAAATTAGAGTTGCGTTAAATTTCTGCTCGTGTCCATGTTATGTAATATGATGATGGCAATGCGATGCGATGTGATGCGATGCCATAAGATGCGTAGTGATGCGTTCTGTTGATAGAGCCAGCCTCCGTCGTTCGGATGCACTCGAATGCCAACACGTGCAGCAAGGCCTCGCTAAGGCGAACCGAGCTGCAGCAAAAACTTGTCAATGCCATTTACGTTCGCACTGAATCAGTTAGCAGTAAAAGGCCTCAAACAATTAGATGCATGTCAAACCGATTCCAGTTGTCGCCGCTCGCAGGCTCCGCTTTATGAATTACACAATTCACAATCGACGACTTACAATTCGCAGTGAGCAGCAGCAGGAGTCAATATACCGAATGGTGAGCAGGAATTTGACCTTAGCCCGCTGAGCGTACCAACCAGTTAATTTCCATGATCGATTGCGCACCAAGGCCTGCCTGGCCAAGCACTATTAATCAAAATGCACTTCCTTAAAAAGGAGCAAGATTATTGCAGATTGTTTATACTAATCAATCAACACCTTCTCACATATGGACCTTGCCTGTGATCCCTGGAATATGGCCATGCACGGAGAACAAGTTGAGAGGAACTTTGCAGACGAGCCCAACTGACTGTCTAATACTCGTTCACAGCTCAAATAGAGCTTGATATATTGAAGAATATCTATCCTAGGATGTGGATAAGCCTAATGATTTATAGATATACTGGATTTGACATTTTTAAAGATCGAAATAGTTAAATCTCTTCAATAAAAACTTTTACTAGAGTAAAATAAATTTGTTTATATGTTTAAAAATTTATCAGTAATTAATTAGTATTTAGTATGACTTTCATACATTTTTCTAAGACATGTCGGAAAAGAATTGAAGCTCCTAATCATACTGCCAGGGTCGAGAAGCAGTAGTAAAATTTTTCACTGGTCATACACATTATTGAAAGCATATGGGAACATTGTTCTAGATGAACTTGAGCAGAGGGATGAATGAGAGATTAGCTAATCTACAGCTGAACCCATTAAAAAATCCGGTTCAAAAATTTCGGTTACCGAAATAGAAAACGATTTCAATAGTTTCAATAGTAGTACTAAGAATAAACTTTTAGCTTTGTGGATTCAGTTATAAAGAAAGAAATAATTGTTTGCAAAATATTTTTATAATCAGAAATATCAATCAATGAATATAGTCAATATTTTTACAAAATAATAAAAATAAATAAATTGAGATAATTTATTCATTATATGATTGATATTTACTTCTATATTTCGTCAAATATAGAGAATAAAGATATACATATATTACATATAGATATAGTATATTTATGCCCACTATGTAGCCCTAAAACTTTCGATTAGATGTTAGTATAAATGGATAAGTATTAACTCTAGTTAAATCCTTTGCTGGCATACAGACAGGTCAACGAAGTTTACCAAACCAATATTCCCCATTCCATTTTGTGGGCGAGTATAAAAACGATTCGCGCCAAATTGGAAATGTCGTGACCAACAAGAAGTCTAAACAAACGCTTTCAGCAGAGCAGCATTGGTTGAACCTGCCAAAGGGACATCTTAACGCACTCGGCACCCTCGACTAACCAATGCTCCATGTCATAAGTACTATATACCTTACAAAATAAATATTTCTGTATATGGAGTGCTTGTGTGATTCTGTATGTGTGTGTAAGTTACACTCCCACAACAGTTGAAAGAGACAGAGAGCAAGAAAGGCAGGCAAGGCAGGCAAGGCAGCAAGTGAAGTTTGTATCCACAGACCTGATATGCCCTCGGGCTGAGCGCATCACCTGCGCATCTTTTCGGCAAAGGCCGATTTTGATTTCCAAGTCGGGCTCTGAGCATTCACATACCCATTCCCATACCCATACCCATACCCATACCCAGTACCCATAGCCATTCCCATTCTCATACCCATTCACGATCACATCCAGTCAGGCAGTCGGACAGACGGGACAGCCAGGGCCGAAATTGCACGCAGGAATTTATTTGAAAGCCTTGGGATGCACCTACCACTAATTTTTATCTTGTCTTCGCTGTCAGGCAGCCGCAGCAGCAGCAGCAGGAATCGCAGTCGCAGCAGCCACCGCCGATTCGCAGTTACAGAATAACAAATGGAATTTTTCAATGTCGATATCCCGACTCGACACACGACCCACGACAGTTTGCTAAGCCCCAGAGCTTGGCTCAATTTAAACAATTATGGAAATGGGCAGAGAGTGCAGCGAGGCCCAGCAATCAGCAGATAATCAAATTAGAATATCTGTGACGCAACACCTGTTGGCTCTTATCGTTAACTGAAAAAAGAAAAGAAAGGAAAACACGACTAATTCCATGTTGGACTTAAGTACCGTAGGAAACATATACTCATAAGTGATATACACCCACAATTGTCAGTAATTGTCAGAGTTTCGCATATAAGCCTTAAATGCCTGCCCATGTGTATGTGTGTGTGTGTGTGAGTGTGCGCATACTTGAAGGGAGACAGTAACAACTAATTAACACTTCCAGCTACTTCTACGCCTACCCAAGCGAGTAACCGTATGCCGACTGAATTAATGAACGGATTGAAGATCGCGTGACGACATGAAGTGAGTCGATGGCGCTGCCGACGTCAACATAGTCCAAGGAGAAGGCAGCAGCAGAGACAGAGACAAGGGCGAGGGCGAGGTTGAGGGCAAAAGCGAAGACAGACGACAGCGGGCAGAGGCAGAGCGTCATAGTCAGTGTCAGCGTCAGCGTCAGCATCAGCATCATTTGGGGGCACGTTGGAAGCGCAGGAACAAATGTCGTGCCAGGCAAATACATACCTCAAGAAATCACAGGGAACAGGTTTCGCGAGTGCGCGAATGGAATGAAAAAAAATTGGCATAAATGTTTATGATACAGTAAACGGATGACAACGGCGACTAACTACGATGATGATGAAAAACCTGGGCTGGCAGGCGGACTCTGGACTCTGCCAGCCAAGTGGAACGTAATATATACACAAGCAAATAAACAAACAAACACACATCGCATTGTCTGCAAAAACAAACATTGGACAAATCTACAGGCAAAACATAAAAAAGAAGTGCAGTAGAAGAAAGTGAATTGTTGCTGCTAATCAAATATGCCGAGCCAAACGGATGTGAAACGAAACTTTGACTCGTACCATGCGAAAGCCAACCTATGCATACAATTTGCAACATTTCTTTTGGCTGAAACTGAATTAAATATGGAAAGAGATACAACAAACCGCAACAACAACAACAACAACAAAGAACACAGCCACAGAGCAAGGCACAGCTGACAGCTGTAAAGTGTCGTCTGTGCCAATGGCTGACATTGATGTATTCGATATGGCCAAACACACAATTACAATAAACAATGTTGGGAATGGGGTTAACCGATTCGATACTGCAAATCAGATTGTTTTGACTAGATAATAACACGACATGGCCATTGTGAGAGTCTCTTTCACTCGGAAAGGTTTCAAGAATGCTCTAGAGTGGATCACAATAAGATGTTTAGTGTTCATCATGAGCTCGTGACTTTTAATTACCTATAATATGGCTAAAACTCAGCTGCCGCTTTGTAAATTTCACTTAGATATATACAGTAATACCTACCTAATTTGTACTTTCACATTGGCTAATCTAAACACTTAAACGTTTTTGAGTAATTGGCAATATTTTTTAAAATTGGTATATTATTTAAAATATTATTATTTATTTAAAAAAAAAATAAAACAGTGCCAAAGAGAGGCAAATAAATAAATTTGTTTAAAAACTTCTCTAAATATAAAAAAAAAAAAAAGGTATATTTATATTTAAAAAATTATTTTATAATTAAAAAGAAAAAAAAAACAGCGCCAAAAAGAGGCAAATAAATAAATTATAAATTTTATAAACTTCTCAAAATATTTTTTAAAATGTATATTTTATTTAAAATATTATTTTAAAATTAAGAAGAAAATAAATCAGTGCCAAAAAAAGGCAAATAAATTTCAAATTCTCAAAATTTCAAGCTCGACACAAATTATAATTTTTTTTTTTTAATAATTGGTAGATTTATGTTTTCAATGAGAAAAACATTTTGTACTCTAATCTTAATTTTGCTTTCGATTTTACTACTACTGCTTTCACTATCTGATTAAATTTTATGTGAAGTAGTTGACGACAATTTTTTAAACTTATATTATTTAGTATTTATTAATTATTGAACAATACAACAACAAAATTAATATTCTAGTAAACTCATCTACAAACGGAACGCAAGCAAATGCTTTCAAATTTGTCCATAACATTTTAAATATTTATACCCTATACTAGATTATTAAATACACATAATTTATTTCAGTAAATTCATTATCTTGTTTTTGCCGAGTTTCCCATTGATAACCAATTAACAACGCAATTCTTGGCCAACATAAATATTCAGCTAACACAAGCAGTAATTTTTGTAGAACATGTTAAAATATAAATCAGGAATGTAACTGGATCTATCTGCATTAAAGATGCCTTCCGTGCCCGCCCCAGGCGCCGTGGGAGTTTTTTGTGTTGTTGTTGTTTGCTGAACCCGAAACATGCTGCGGGCAACATGTTGCTGATAGCGACAATAGCAACAAGTTTCGCCGCATCGGCAGGGGGGAGTTTAAGGCAACCCGATTCACAAAAGATAAACATTTGATAAAGCTTAACTTGATCTATTTACTGTCCGATTTATCATGCTTCTCCACATGCCTGAACATTATTGTGTTTGATATCTATGTGTACCTTGATAAGGTCTTGGGATTTGCACTTTGTTTCAAATATATTCTTCACTTAACTCCATGTAATTTATAAATATTTAATTTAAAGCACACATTTGACTCTTCTATAATTTTATACATTTTTTTTTGTATTTTTTTGTTTTGCATTTATTCTGGCAAATCAAATTTTTTTTTACATTTATAAGACACACACATATTTAATTTGTTCACCTAAGCCTCATATCATTATCGATTTCCACTAAATATAAAGTTAAAAGATGTAAACAAAGTGGAACCCACGTTTGCCAACTGCTCACTGATTGTTTTGCACTCGGGAATTCGCGGTCCGCAACGATCTTCACGCTCTCACGTCTTCACTCGTCGCATGATGCTCGCGAACTGATCGTGAGCAAGCACGACGAAGCATGTGGAACCGGTGCAGCCAGAGAGTAAACTGATACACGCTGACCAGCTGGAGCAGCTGCTTTGGCGTCGGCCTCTGCTTCGTCTACAACTGCGACTGCAATTGCAACTGTGTCTGTATCTGTTCTGGCTTCTTAAACACAGGCGTAAAACAATTAAGTCGTTGGGCGTGAGGCTTGTTGAGGCGCATAATCAGGCAACGGGGGTGTAACTACCTGCTAATAGATTAACTCAATAGACGTGACATACTATAAATGTATTATTATTATCTATTACTTATTTAATTTAAAAATTGGAAGAAAAATAATTCTACAATTATTATATATTTTTATATATACTGAAAAATATATCCAAAATTGAAAATAAGTATGTATGTAATGTAATATAGTATGTAATAAATTTATTATGTATTTCTTATCAATTTTTACGTTAAAAAATTCATTATTTATTAATTAATATTTATTAATAATTTGACAAATAAATGATATAATATCAAATACTTCTTGTTTTAATAATCAGCTTCTATAGCGGCTGTCCGATGTAGTATTTTAAATTAAATAAGCCCACCAATTTAAGAAAATTATACAAATACATTTATAATAATAATAATAATATAATAAGAAAAATGTATAAATTGTAATATATAAGATCACGATTACATATCCTAAATATAAATAAACAGCTAGCAAATTCAAGTATTGATTGATCATCAGTTACTCCTGAGTCAAAGATGTATATACAAGCCAAATCGCATTCTTTCCTTCTTTGTAAAAATTGTGGAAGTATAAACAAATCAATGAAAAAGTAAACCTTATCAACAAGCTCTATAAATAACAAAACTATAAGCAGAGTATATCATAGTTATTAGAATAATTTATTTGAAACTTTTGCAGCAAAATTTTTGGCTCAATTACAATGTTTATTACAATCAATACTCTTTTCGCTTAGCCTATATACTCGATTATCAAACTCCATTGCGCTCCTCGGGTCGTGTCTCGCTGTAAAAGCCCAAATTCATCGTCGGTATCATATTGCTGTAGAATGACAATTCCGCAGCTCTCAAATTGGGCATGGGCACCGGTTCCGGTATGACGGGAGGCTTGCCAGCACCGGCTTGCTCCCCCGCCATTGAATGAGTCAGCGGCACTGATGAGGCTGCTAAGAGAGCCTCCTGGGTGCTCTTGGCCACGCTATGCTGCAGCTCGTGCACTTTTAGATGGGTCTGCAGCTCGCTCTGCTGCAGGAAGTTGATGCAGCAGATCGGACAGGTATAGTTGGGGCCATGCACCTCCAGCTCGTGGCGTTGCAGTTGCTCGCGCCGATTGAAGTTCTGTCCGCAAATTTTGCATGCAAACAGGCTGTCCAAGTGCAGCGCTCGATGACGCTGAAGATCTCGTTCTCGCTGGAATCCCCTGTCACAGACATCGCAGCGAAAGTTGCGTGACATCTTCGATGATGGCTTAATCTTTGCCTGCACTGGTGGATACGAATAAGGCGGCGCCGCCGGCTGTGTTTGCGTCTGTGGCTGTGCTGCTGCTCCTGCTCCTGTTACGGCTGCATCGTTGTCAACGTAAGGATGCAGTGGTAGCTGCACTTGGTCTGGTGGCATCGTCATGCGCACACCTTGTTGCTGCTCGGCGTCGCGCTTTAGGTGTACGTGTTGGTGCATGGAGAGCTTGTCCTTGCGTGCAAATGAGGCGGGACAACGACCACACTGATACGGTTTGACCTCGGCATGGGAGCGCCTGTGTTTCATCAGCTCAAGGGGCGTCTGGAAAGAGCGAGGGCATTGCTGGCAAACGAAGGGTTTCACGCTGCTATGTATGCGCAAATGCTTGGTTAGATTTGTGTTCCGTGAGAAGCTCTTGGAGCAGACGTGGCACGAGAAGGGACGCACGCCCGTATGCACAATAGTGTGCTTCTTCAGGTCTGAACGTCGCACGAATCCCTTGTTGCAGTGGGCGCACACATACGGACGCTCGGCGTCGTGCAGCTCCTTGATGTGCGCTATCAATGCCGGTCGCGTCGTCAAACGCTGCTGGCAGTAGTTACAGATATATGGGGCAGCAAGATCGTGTCCTGTTAGCTCATGCTGTTGGCAATCCGGCTGCAAGGTGAAGGCCAGGTCGCAATATTGACAGAGGAACGCACTCTTGGGATGCGCATTGGCATTCACAACGGCATCGGTTGAGAGATGAGCCTGCATGAGTGCCATTTGCGCTGCGTCCATGCCGAGTGGTATCTCTACATCTTCATCATTTGGCGCTTCCTCCTCATCCTCATCGTCCCATTCCTCATCTTCATTTTCGGCCTCGCCATCGGAGCCCATGAACTCATCATCGGTCGTTTCGCACAGCTGATCCGGATCCACGTCGACAATGACGCAACCTTCTTCACCCTCCTTAAACTCAAATACACCAGGATTGCCATTTAACCCTGGTCGATATCTGGCGTCCAGGGAAATGATGTTCTTTAAATCCTGCTGCAGACCGTTTTCACGTTGTTGCATGGAACGGCGTTGCTCATAGAAGTCCTTCAACATTTCCAAACAATTCTCACAAATGAGTTCCGGCAGGAATTCATGGCGATTGTACTTTATACCCCAAACACTTTCGCACACATCAGCAATCAGCAGCTTTTCGCTTTCATTCTCGGAATTTTCGTTAATAAACTCCACAGATGCTTCATAGATGTTTGGCGATTCTTTTGTCAGCGCTGAACGGGAATGGCATAGACGACATGGCATTGCTTCTGTGCCACCAGATCGATCATGTTTTTTATCCCCGGCAGGAGCTACTGCCTCTTCTATGCCTAGATTTAGCATTTTTATCACTTTGTTATGACTAACGAGCGGCAACGCGAATTATAATATGTAACATAACTGCAAGCATTTTCACAGTGGCGTGCTGCTTTTAACAGAAACCAAACCATGTTCTGGGATATGCCAGCCCTGGTATGTAAATTTGAATATCTTAAAATTATTTGTTTTATTTAAGCTTGGTAAACTTTAAGCAAGCAATTCAATACTAAGTTCATATATTCAAAACATGATAACATTTTAAAATAAGTTTCTTATAATTTCAATATGAAAACACTGAGCATACACATAGTTAATAAAAGAAATAAACAAACTCTTAACAGTGCTGAATGAGTAGGTCCATCGATTACGAACCGAACTACCGATAAATGCAAGCGTGTATGGAAACTTTGCCCAATCGATAATACCGCAAATTATATATCGTATATTGAAATACACCCAATGGTAACGTTCCATTTGAATTGCCATTCAATGTGAAAACTGGCGAAGTCTTGTATTAAAACAGTATACTGCTGTTATAATTATACAAAATTATCTCAATTATAGATTTCAGTATACATTTCAATATTATTAAGAAAAACGTGTACTTGCATTATAGATCATATTAAACCTTATTACCACATAAACGAATTACAAACATTCGTAAGTACGAATTATATTAAATTAAAACGTAACTGTCAAAAAATGTCCATGCATGTAGAAATAAATGCATGAATGTATGCCAAACATACACTACGCATATTCTCTTAAATTGTTGAAATACTCTCTATCTCCCTCTTACAAATGCCTTGGGGTTGTCGGCTTCAACGGTAGGACGAGGGCTGGCTTAGCTTCTCTTTGTGTATGTGAGTGTACAATAGTAAATATTGAGATGGACGCGTGACGAAAACATTTTAATTATTTTAGCACTTGTTGAATACAATATTATTTTATGCGCTTAGCAAAATATTGTTTTAATAATTAACCAAGAACAGAGTTTAGACGTTGTAATCTGTGAAGTGTAATTTGATTTGTTCAATGTCTGCTATTCCATCGCAGTCGATATGAGCCTTTAGATTGCACGAGACGTATAAATGGGCACGAGCATGAAGGTCACGCACACGCCTCTACTTTCCACAATTGCGCGCGCACACACACATTGAAAAATGTTAAAGAGCATGCGAAAGTTTATTTAATTCACTAGTCGTTTACTGGCATTTGAATAACACAAGTGTTTGTGAGAAGTTGTATTGGATGGCAGGCAACACGATCATATAGTTACCGGTCGGTCATATTAGTAATTGCCTCTTAAGTGTAAACCAAGTACCAAGTGGCCAAATTTTAAAGTGTTCACAGGGCTCGCGTGTCATGTGAAATACTGTTTGAGTTTTAGTTGTACAGCACTGTGTTCAATTACAGTTTGTGTCGATAGAAAACAATTGGAATAGCAACGGCAAATGCCGACTTCGGACATCGACAGCTACAAGTAAAAGCAACAGCAATAACAATAGCAGCCAGCAGAAGCAGCAGGTGAAAATCCGCAGTGGACGAGTTTTGTATTTAGCCAGCTGCAGAGTCTAAAAACAGAGTAAGTGGAAATGTCCCAGCAGTTCATGAGTGATTCCCATCTGTGAAAGTGTTTTTCTAGTTAATATTCGTTAAACATATTAGCGCACACCTACGTACGTACATATATATACATACATATATACGTACGTGTGTGTGCACTCGAACGCTCCAAGTATCCTGGCAAAAACAATTGGTTTATTGCGCACTCATTTTGTCTTATGTTTAGACAATGCGTATGTCGTCATGTGCTACATTCCCCTGCACTGTCTCTCCCCAGCTAGCCACCCCCTTTACCGTTCAATGTCCTTAGCGGCGGTTGTAGATTTGTTTCGTGTGCTGGTGACCTACCTACCCTGTAGCGCCAGCAGTGACTCGCAGTTGAAATGAACCCAACCATATGAGCGCTTTAAATTTGATGGAATGCAAATGAATGGTTCTTTAAGGTTTCGAACCAGTTTTTGTACATACATAGGTACGCAGATATGATGAGCCATAACATAGGAGCAAAGCTAATTTCCCTTTGATATACAATCCACGGGTTCATTCGAGCTGGGAACCACTGTATGCACGCAGTTATATTTTTAGCCTCAGCCTTGTCATTATTTATTCCTACTGTATCAACAAATACTTTAGGCATTCCACTTATTATTTATATTGCGTGCTACAATTTTATTTAATTAGATGAAAACAATTGAATTATTAATATAGTTGAATTGAGCATGTAATATATAAAAACAGTTCACAAGAGACAAACTCTTAGTCAAAGGATTATAAACCGTTCTGGGGTTAGTAAACCATTATTATTCGAAGAAGGGACTAGCAAATTTTTGAGTACTATCAAAAGGCTTACATAACTTCGTATTTTTATATCAGTATAATAATATATGCTTACTTAAAATATTTTGGGAAAACGAGTATTACCAGTAACAATGTGACCTTCAAACATACATATATTTAAAAAAAATCACCTGATATCCTCACTAAAATCTATTTTATTTCTAATTATCTTTATCTTAATCTTTATAAATCCTTATTTAAGTATATTTAAAGTTATAATATTTTGATATTTATCTGCCATGTTTTTTTTTTTTTTCCTATAATCAACTACTGTTTATTTTCGCTAAATAGATGATTATAGATAGTCAATTTTTTTCGAACAGCATCAAATTTATTATTTTATACATTATATATACATTATACATTATCTACAATCGGAAATATCATCGCAAATAAGCGAACAGTTAGGGAAGAGTCTACAGTATACCCAGAATAAAAATTTGATGCTTTGTTGAAAATGAACATGCCACCCGATCCGAGACTAATCTAGTAATATGCGTGCTTAGCTGGGCAAGACGAGAAGTCAATTAAAATTATTAGATTTCAAATTTTCCTGACTCTAGACGGTTAAAGTGAATCAGTCTGATCTGACTGTGTCAATATATTCTTCCAGATTTTTAGTGTAGACCAGCTGACGTTCTCGTGCTCGTTGACTTCGAACATGGAAATTGTTTGTAAATATGTATATGACAAATTGGCGCTGAGTGCCTTATTATTAGGCAGTATTTGTATAAATATATGCATGTTCATATACATATATGTATATATGCTTGTACATAAACATACATATATTAGATTGAATCACGCCATAATCTTATCATTACGTTGCTTTGAGTAAATGAAATTTGATGCGACCTCTGATTTATAGTAGGGCGTTTTCCATTTTTCGTGATTCAAACACTATTTATTCGACCGGAAGTTTTTTGACCCAATTTAATGGCTAATAGTGTAAGCATAGATAACAAGAGAATTTTTTTGTATAGCGTATTGCCCACAAAATTTTGTTTATAAATTAATATTATATTTTATGTGTCGTGTCATTCCGTGACGTGTGCACGAGTGTCCAGCACGCGCCCATCTCTTTGTTGCTATAGAGATAGAAAGACCGTGAACACATTTACCGTTTCGATCGTTAAAAGTATTAGGACGAAGACGTAGAGATTACACTAAAATAAAAGTTCAAGTGCCGTTTGAAACATATGTATAAAAATAAAGTTAACAATCAATCAATGATAAAATGTTTAAGCTATTTTGATATTCTTAAATCGAATATAATGGGTATACTTACTGATAAAATTATCAAATTAAATTGAAGTTAAAATATTATAAAAGAAACTAAGAATTGAAGGAATTCTGATTACATTTTATAGCTTTCATGTCAAGTAACTACTTAAAGAGCTTTATAATCCAGATAAACAAATTTTAATCTATATAGAATGCAAGGCAAACGGAACCCCTACGAAGTTTATAAATGCTAAACAAACGTATTATTTTGGATTATATATAGAAAAGTTTATTATTGATTGACTAGGAGTACTTCTGACCTATGAAAGCAATACATGTGATTAAACGATAAGAGCACACTATAAATATTCAGTAATACAAATTAGAGGGGTTATTCACTCCAATGTACGCCTTGGATCAAACTTACAATTAAAAATTCTAGTTCACAAATTAAAATATCATATTCAAAGCTAAAGCTTAGACAAAAAGTAAACAGAGAGCAGGAAGAAAAGAGAACGAGAATAAATTACATAAAGCTCGTGTTAAGCTTTTTAATGCATTTAAATGAGTCGAATTTGTTTAAAGAGTATTTCTCTAGTGGACATGTCGAAATCCAATGAGACATATGAGCTCAATATCAAAGTTCAGCGCCCTGATCCAACTTGCCATTAAATTCGTAATATCTGATAAGCTCTTTGCGATTAATCAGCGTGTATTTTGCTGTTAAAGGCGTTACCTGAAATGATATATGCTCTTAGTTCTGCTCGGTACTGCGACTGTTTAGGACGTGCCTAGGCGGAGGCTAAACAATAATTACGGAGCAAACTCTCTAATAACTCTGATTCGTTACAACCAGTTGCCAAGAGCGCGAGGAGGTCCATAAAGCGGTACGGCCAAAGACCATATTAAATAAGCAATTTTTATGAAGGCATAGCGTATATACATAAATAGATGTTTACATAGACACCTGCGTTGCCAGTTAATTTCTTATCTGGTAGCAGAAGTGTTTCAAATCGAATTAGCTAGAACGATATCATTATATTTTATAGTAATTAACTGTGCTCGAATTGACGCATACATAAATTGGATACTGCAGACCGGCTAATCAATCGAAGTGAAGCCTTCAATGTTATTAGACTTTATATAGACATTATCTGCCGAGCACTCATCGGAAAAAAAGAATATTAATGTTCATAGGTATCTTTATTGCGAGACAGTTTGATATGGTTTCATTAATATTCCTCAGTGAAATATTAAAAATGTAATAAATAATACAATTTCCAACTTATGTTTATATGTTATACTAATACAACATTGAAACACTATATTTAAATACCCTGCATGGGGCTTATACATAGTATAATGAGTAGGGATTTTGAGAGCCCTAGTCCTTAAGAGAACTATAGAACAGAAAAACATGCTGCCTATGCCATCTAATAATATTTAATATATATATATAGCATCCCTTATGGATGTGTGTATCGCTTGTCTGTATGTCTGTGTCCGTCTCTATCTCAGAGTCTGTCTCTTTGTCTGTCTGTCTAACAAAAGCTAGGAACGAAGAAGTACTACAGAGCATCACTTAAGTTATCTTTGTATATGATTGCAGCAGTTTTCATTTGCTATTTATTTTTGAGTAAAACGAAGCTAGAATTCCTGCAGCAGCAGAGAGTGTTCCCATTGGTTATTTAAAGCTCGACTGCAACGACTCCTACCTGGCCTCGAGCTCGACGTTTGAGGGCGACTTAGACTCCCAGTGGAAGCCGCCCTATATAAAGGGTAGCAGCTTCAGCATTTCTTCAGTCGCCCAGGCCTGGTGGGGGTCAGTCGTGCAGTGCAGTAAAGTGAAGTGAAATGAAGTAAAGTGTGTGATCGTTCAGCAAAGCATTAAAGACTTGCAGGAAAGACTTAGAGGATGTACATGGAGGAAATAGAAGAAATACTTAGAAGAAATATATCGAAAAAAAAAAGAAATTTGTTCAGCTAAGCATAAAAACTCAAAGAAAAGACTTAATTTTCGATAACAACAAAATGTGAGTGGTCGATTTTAGAAACAAACTCGACGTGCGAGTGACTTACGGAAGGATAGACAAATAGACATACAGGGCCAAATCAACCTAGCTCGTCGCCCTGATCAAGAATATATATACTTTATGGAGTCTGCCACGCCTCTTTCTGCCTGTTACATACATTTAACAGAACCATTATACCTGATGTCCTATTTTCAATGGGTTCAGGTTATCAGCGTGAAAGCTAGTTTCAAAATTGTAAACCTAATTATATCAATACCGAAATGAAACCAAATGAACAGAAACCTTATGTACATATATAGCTAAAATGCAGGATATTGTCAAATGAAATGAATTGTGAGTTCCAGTATACCCAAAAGTATTATTAGATATTAGTTAACTGACTATTCGTATGAGGAAATAGTCTAATATCTCAAACCTCCACACAGATTCAAAACTATCATGGGTATAGGGTATCAAAATCAAAAAAATTTAGTTTAATTACAGCCTTTAAATTTTAATATTAATATAAATGGGACATGAATCTTAAGTAGATATATTCCGAAAACAATTTAGATGATTGTCATGAGCTCGTTAGTCGACTTAGTTTTTGTTTTCATAAATTTGAATATCTAAATTTAATTAAATTATACCATTGTGGTATACTATCAAAATTTTGCAGCATTACTGGAAGTCACCCTCAGCCTTAACCTACGAAATGGCTTGCACCTGTGAAGTAATTGGCCTGGCCTGTGTCGTTGCGCTTATCTTGAGTGTTGCGGCCAAGGCACCCTATCAGATGAGAATGTTTATTGTAATGTTCGGAGCTGGTGCGATTGTGCTGTTATGCATTCCCTTCATGATACTGCGACCGAGAGACTATCGAAATGGACTGTGAGTGAAGAGCTATATAGCTTTACATCTGTTTCGTGTCTAATGTTTCTTTATTTCTTCCGACAGAGCACCCTCCTGGTTCTTCAGAAAGCTGTGCAAGCTAATGGGCATTACCATGGAAGTGCGTGGTGTGGAGAACGTGAGAAGGGAACACGGTAGTGTCGTGCTTATGAACCATCAAAGCGCTTTGGATCTCTGCGTGTTGGCTTACTTGTGGCCAGTGATAGGACGGCCCACTGTGGTGGCCAAAAAGGAAATTCTGTACATGCCCTTCTTTGGCGTTGGCGCCTGGCTCTGGGGCACTTTGTACATCAACCGATCGCGCAAGAGTGATTCAATTAATTCACTGCAAAAGGAGGCGATCGCTATACGCGAACGGAATTGTAAGATCTTAGTGTTTCCGGAGGGCACTCGTAATTCCAAGGATAGTCTGTTGCCATTCAAAAAGGGTTCATTCCACATTGCGCTTCAAAGCAAGTGCACGATACAGCCTGTGGTTGTATCGAAATACTCGTTCTACGATGAGGAAAAGAAAAGCTTCCGACCAGGCCACGCTATCATACAAATACTGCCCGAGATATCAACGGAGGGCTATGAAAAGGAAGATATGGACAAACTGATCGAACTTTGCCGATCCACTATGCAACAAGAATATACAAGGTTGAGCAAAGATCAGCTTGCTGTGAACTCAAAGAAACAGTCATAAATATATATATATATATATATATATATATTATAATGTTAAACTCAGGTTATGTATACAAATTGTCGGTATTTAAGAGAATGAAACAACGCAAAATGCTTAATATTCTGAAAAAAAAAAAAATTGTGTAGATATGTGGCAGAATTCAGTTAATGTATTATGATATGGATAAGTTTAATGAATAACTATATTACAATTACTGTTTTAGAATATTTTTGAATAATTTTATTGTTAGTGCATTTTACATGCATAGTTATTTGCAGACGTTCACTTGGAACAGATTTGATGCCAATGCCAAACGATAAGAAAAACCTAACTCTCGACAATTTAAAAACAAATAATATTGCCTACATAAGCTAAGAGAAATTTATTTCACGCAGTGGAAAAACAAGGAACAAAAAATTAAATAAATCATGAGAAGCAAATATCTAACTACGTACTTACGTAAATCGAGTTTTCAAACTATTATCTGTGTAAACTACAGACTCCACTAAGACATTGTTTTATGGAAATTTATGTGAAATATATATGTTACCTATTAATTCGATTTGCTTATATTTATTTAAGACAGTTTTTTTTTTGGGCTATGCTCCTTTTACGAAGGTACATTTGCAGGAAGCACAGTATATTTCTGCATTCTAAAATATTTTTCGTTTCAGAAATAAGTTTTTTTATTTGCCATTATATTGTAAACATATAAATCTGAATTAAAATAAGCTGTGGTGTCAGCTGACAGTTACACTTTATTATTTAAATGTGTGAATCTGCCGCCGATAAGCGCAACAGGTTTTCGATGAATATGTGTATTGTATTGCTGTTTGTCGTTTCACTGCGATAACTGGTATCGATTATTCTAAACTAACAAGCAGCTGATTTTGTTGACCATCGCGAGCGAAATAAATCTTTTTAAAATGAGCTTGAAGCTAACTATAATTTCATAAAATTTCAATGTATTGCAAATTATTGAGACCAGCAAATCGAAGAGTTCGACGTGAGTAAAGAAAAGAATATTAAATTCAGTTAAATTTACTTCTGAGACATAATTATTAATATTCACAAAGCGCCGGCATTATAGGGTATCATAATCAGTAAGCAAAATGGAAGCTGTGGAAATTAAAACTGAGCTTGAAGTTGATACCGAGTGCAACAGTCAACTAGAGCAGCACATGGAGCACAAACAAGACTCGGAATCGGAGACTACAGTGGAAATCGAGTTCAAGTCGGAAATTGACATAGAGCCTACGATTGTGGGTGAATCCATTAAACTTTATGACATTCGAAGGCTGCGAGAATTCGGTGATGTGCCCTTCATAATAAAACGAATGGAGCCACAGGATTTGTCCATTAGCTATCGCAAAGCCGTCACCAACGTTGAGTCAATTTTGGAGCGACTGCGTCGCAACAGAGTTCCAACTGGCGTCGGCATTGCCTTGCGCATCGCAAGTCATTCACCTTCGTCATGCATTTTGATTCTTGCGTGAGTTTGCGATTGCGAATCGTGCTTGCTGCATTTCCCTTAATCTTCCTATTAAATTCTAGCATACTGAATCATAAATGCCATTTCTATTGCAACGACAAAATGATGCTGTCCAAAACCTTGCACGTGCAGATGTGCCGGGCTGGCATTGATTACCTGATAGTCAACGGACACATGCCCGTTGGTACTGTCTACTTTCAAAGGCTCGACACCTTTCTCGCCTACAACGACGAGTACAAACTCTTCAAATTGAAGCCCACATCCAGTGATGCTGCGCCCCAGGCAAAGACTTCACTGCCATCCAATATGTGCTATACGATTACAACCACTGGGACCACAGGAGAGCCGAAATTAGTTCATATACCGTATGAATGCATTGCACCAAATATAGTGGGACTCAGGTGAGCTAAAGATTTGGGAGCTTTTCATAAAGTCTTATTTCGACTAATTTTATCTATCTCTCATAGTTTAAAACTAAATATATCAATGGCTGACATCATTTACCTGGGCACACCTTGCACATTTGATCCATCGGTTGTGGAGCTCTTCTTGGCTATGCAAAATGGGGCCGCTGTCCTGCTCACTCATTACGAGATGCGCGAGTCTCCCAATCGGGTTCTGAACGACCTCTTTCCGACAAGTGTGACCACACCCAGCATAACCGTGTTGCAAATGACGCCCTCACTCTTTCGACAGTTTGGTGCGAATGCAATACGGAAGAGGATATTAAACAGTTCCAGTACTCTGAGGTAGGTGCTGGCGCGATACCCATTTGTCAATCCACCTAATCGAAGGTTCCATTAAAGTGCCCTGTAATTTTAGAGTGTTGTTACTTGGCGGCGAACCGTTTCCATCTAGCTCAGAGCTGGCCACCTGGATAGACCCGCCGGTGCTATTCCAAAAACAAATCTGTAACATCTATGGTATTACGGAGGTGTCGTGCTGGAGCCTGATGCACGTTTTACAGTCTTTGCACGAGCGCGTACCTTTGGGCACGCCCATCGACGATGAGACTGTGCTGCGCATCCATGTTCAGTCGAAAAGAAACAATCCGAATGCAGACTGTGGCGAGCTTTGGCTAGGCAGCGCCACACGTCGCTGCTACATACCAGAGATTGATGATCTAGAAAACCAATGCAACGATAAAGCTTCCTCTGTCTGTTATCGTGCCACGGGCGATATTGTACGACGCTTTGACGATGGCTCAATAGTCTATGAAGAACGCGCGAATGATGTAGTTAAACGAGCCGGTACACGAATCAGCCTGGGTATGGCAAATTGAAATTACAATTAAATAAGATATTCAAGTATATTAAACACATCCTTTGCAGGGCTCATTACGCGCAAGATAGAGACATGCTTGCATCACAGCGAACTGGCTACATGTCTATGGCTCGATGAACTCCAGAAACTTATCTGTTGTATTCGAAGTCTTGAGCCTAAGACGAAGATACAGCAGAGAGCGCAGACTTTTGATATGCTGTCCAAGCTAATGACGGCTGAACAACCGGACAGATTCGTTTATTTGCAACACTTTCCATGCAATGCACACGGCAAGTTGGACAAGATGATGCTACTCAAAGAGTGTACACTGCTAGCGCAGCCCGCTCAAGACATACTCAGAAGCTTTCTGCACGACAGGCTTGAATGCGTGGACGTTCAAAATAAAGGCAGTCAGAAGAAACAGCGACTGGAGCCAGCAGGCTCGCAATCTAATCTCAGCGGATATGATCTGAGTTTTCGTCATGCTGGCGGCACCTCGTTTCATGCCGTTACTCTGTGTCGCGAAATTGGTTTGCAGATGTGCATTGACGACGAGCAGCGACATCTATTTGAAATGCTGCTAGACGAAAATGTTTCGCTGCGCAGCATATTGCAGTTCCTAGATGGAGCCAAGCTGGTGACCCACAATACCAAAGTGAAACCCATCAAGCCACCGCCAAGCTCTGACGTGAGCACAACTGAGGACAGCAGCTCAAGCACCGTAGGCTTGATCATCACTCGCTTCGAGAAACCGTCTTTGCATTTTAAGTGCCACTGGAAGAAGACTTTCTACAAGTGCATAGATTCACCGGTGGCGCAGTACGAGGGCCGATACGTGTGCGTGGGCGCCCATTCGAAGCAGCTGCGCACCCTCGATGCAGTGACGGGAAAGGAGTATAGTAGAATTAAGTTACCCGATCGCATTGAGTGCAAGGTTACATTCCTTAGCGAGCAGCTGGCCATGGTGGGATGCTACGATGGCGGCCTCTATGGCTTCAATCCGTTGACTGGCGATCTTTTATGGAACGTAGATGTCGGTGGCATGATTAAATCACAGCCCTTCCTATCATCGGATGGAGAGCGCATCGTAGTCTGCAGCTATGCGGAGGACTACAATGTTCTCTGCCTCTCAACCGAACGACAACAGGTGCTGTGGTGCATGCGCATAGGGGAAAAGGCCATTGTTGCCTCCCCACTCGAGTTGAGCAAGCAACAAGCTGTGATAATTTGTACATTAGATGGTGGATATGCGTGTGTCTCACTCATGGATGGCGCCGTCAAGTGGATGCAGAAATGCAAAGAGCCCTTTTTCGCTTCTCCCGTCCTGCTGGACTCGAGTGCCACGATTTTTCTCTGCGCCGAGGTAGCTGGACGAGTGCACGCCTGTGATGTAAATAGCGGAAAAATTGTGAGCTCATGAATATATATTTCTATACTATATATATATATCTTATATATAAAATTGTATATATACATATTTCATATTTACATCTTTCAGTTGGCCACGCATGAAGTTGATGGCAATATATTCTCTTCGCTGGTAGTCAAGGCCCCGCCCACTGACATGGGCCACACATTCGTGTTGTTTGGCTGCATCGATCATCATTTGTACTGTCTGCGCTGCAAGACAGACGCGTCAATGCATGTCTCGTTTGAGCTTCATTGGAAGGTCGATGTGTGCAGCTCCATATACGCCACGCCCACCATACTAACAGTAGAGGCCAATGAGAACTTAGTATTTTGTTGCGCCACGAATGGACGCATTGTAGTAGCAAAACTAGGCAATGGTCACATACAATGGATGAATAAGATGGGCGGCGAACTATTTTCAACGCCGTGCCACATTGAGAGCCTAAGACGAGTTTATTTCGGGTGTCGGGATAACTTTTTATACTGCATGGGTCTTTAGAATAAATAAGACGTTTATCTGTAAATAATTATTTTGTGTTATAATTTGTACATCGATTTTCGTAATGATTTGTTTTCAAAGCAAAATAAATACACTTTCTGTCTTAAGAACTTAACGAACATATTGTTTTCTTAGCTGAAGTGAGTATTGGGGTTTCATTCCTTATATTGGATTTCATGGAAATCTGTATCTTCATCTGGTGAATTACAGTAATTGTTACCATGAGCTATTATCGCATCGTGCGTGCGAAAGAATCTTTCGAGTACCGGGCCGTAATGCACAATATCCGCCTGATCGCGACATTTGCTGCAGCAACTAGTCATTGACTCCGAGTTTAGAATGATATCTGCAAGTGTTGGTCCAGTCTCATATTCCTCTCTGGATGCAACCGAAGTGTTTGACGGAGCGTTTGGTTCGGATTGACTCAGATTTACAAGTTCCGCAGGAGTCAGGCGCGCTTCTTCGGCAAGGCGATTGATAGCCTCTCGCATACGATGGGTGAGACGGGGTGAGGTATAGAGTGCCGTAATGGGTCTGCTCTTCCTGCGGCTATTCGCCAGCTCCAGTCTCTGAAGCCTGCGCTCTTCTTTCAGTTCTTTGGCGCGCTCTATTTTCTTCCGACGTTCCTCTTCGAGATGAAGCATTATTGGCGTTTTTTCTTGTTGGGCGAAGTACTTCACCCACTTCTCTCTCACCTCTCTGCAGTACTCGTCATCTAGAACAAACTCATTTCTCGTGATGGGCGAGGCAGACTTTTCTTCAGAGTTGACACTCCGATCCGGATTAGTACAAGTGAGTTT